TTGTTTTAAGAATACAAGTTTTTATATGTTTGGAGATGTGGGGCATACAAGTTCTTATATGAGGCGACATAACTGTTAAGTGGGTCGGTCGACCCGTCATACATTTTTAATAAAACTGCATATTTATGTTATGAAATGTCATAATTTTGTTTATGATGCTTTTTAAAGTACGACATTTCGATTAAAAAATATGTATATCAGTTGAAAAAGTATAACTTTCTAACCGTTAAGGCTACTTAATTGTAGTTTTACAATTCAAAAAAAAAAAATAATAAAAAATAAAAAAAAATTAGTTGATGAGATGATCACACTTATGTTGGCTTCATGACATATATTTTCACATGGTGAATGATTCTTTTACTCAAAAAGGGCAAAAACAAAATGAATTGATGAATGTTCTTTCAAGCAGGGAAAAATGAATTGGTCATGAACCAAAACCTACTTACCAACTCCACATGATATTCATCTCAATCAATGGCCAAGGCATAAATAAAAAAATAAAAATAAAAAATAAAAAATAAAAATAAAAATAAAATAATATGCAAAACATACCATACTTTTCAGACAAATTAAAAATTTACACACAAGCTTAGAGAAAAGAGTAGTTGTTAGTTCAGTTGTTGAAACCTATAAAACAGAGGATTCAATAACACTTTGCCAGGTGCCAAATACAAAAGGAAGCCAACTATTCTCCTCCCTTCACCAACCTGTAACTACTGAAGTGCCCCCACATCTCTCTAATATTCACATTTCACCCCCCCATTTATTTATAAAAAGCCCCCCCTCAAATCTTCCTCAACCTGTTTGAAGTTGAACTCTCCCATAATCCATCTTTTCTTGAAAATTCCCAAAAAAAAGAAAAAAAGGAAAATGTTGAGACCTGTTTTAATCATCTTCATCATTTTAGCAATAGCATCAGCCTCCACAGCCCAATCATCATGCTCCACACACACCTTCCCAAGAAACCAAATCTTCAGCACGTGCATCGACCTCCCGATCCTCGACTCGCACCTCCACTGGAATTACGACAGCTCAGCAAGGACCCTACGAGTGGCGTACCGCCACACGGGCATCTCACCCGACAGGTGGATCGCGTGGGCCCTCAACCCGACGGGCCAGGGCATGGTCGGGGCCCAGGCCCTCGTGGCCTACCGTAGGCCCGACGGCAGCATAAGGGCCTACACCTCCCCTGTGGCCGGTTACCAGACCCGTCTCGAAGAGGGGAACCTCAGTTTCCCGGTTTCGGATTTGTCGGCCACTTACTCGGGGGGCGAGATGGTCATTTTCGCTACCTTGAGGCTCGACAATTTCAGCTCGGGGGGGAAAGTTAACCAGGTTTGGCAGGAAGGGCCCGTCTCGGGGGGTGTCCCGGGGATGCACCCGACAACTGGGGCTAATGTTCAGTCGGTTGGGAGGTTGGATTTGCTGTCGGGCTCAGTTGCCGGAGGGGGAATGGGTGGGAGCTCCAGGTTGAAGAAAAAGAATGTGAGTTTTTTTTTTTTTTT